TAATTTCAAATTACTATGGATCTTCAAAGACACTCATCTTGGGTGGCTCAAAATTAAAAAGGTGCTTGTGGAAACTAATTTCTTGCCATAGGTGAACTGCCAATCATACTTAGAAAGCATTTTTCATTAAAAATGTTTTTCTGGCTCTCTGGGGATAAAGTCACATTATTAGAAAAATAAAAGCAAAGGGTTTGATTCCTGAGGTTTTGATTGACTTAAACTGAAAACAGAAATAAATAAATAGGAGATCTAACACTTACACTGAAGGGGGCAGACTCTAAAAAACTGGAGCATGAATAGGTGTCCCCTGAGTCTTCCCAGATCACAGTTCATCGGTGTCTGGGACAATACCTTTGAAGCTTGCCGTAAATATGTTACACAGTGAAATAAAAGTCATTAAATAAAGACCAAGATTCTCTTGAAACTTGATAGATGACAAGAGAAAGCTGCACGTGCCAAGGAAGAGCAGGAAATGAAGAAGGCTTTGCCATCAGTGTCAGAGAGGGTACATGAGGGTGAGGAAGAATATCACTTGAGAGATGAAAGGAGTCATTATGGATCAGAGGAGAAGGAAATGTTACTAACTAGGCTAATGCAAGGCCAGAGAAGGTTAAAAAAACAGGGGGACAATTCTAAACATGGTCTTGAAATGCAAGCAGGCTCCCCAGGACTGTCAGGAAGAGGGGAAGATCTGAGTAAATGATAAGTGATTTGGAGGTAGCAGACTGTAATGCAAGATCAGACTGGTATCTCAGACAAAACACCATAGGATGTGTCATTATTAATTATCACAAAGAACATGTAAGCTGTTCAATATAAAACACTACCACAGAACTAAGATAAAATTAATTAATTCTTCACTTAGGGTTCAAAACTGGTGGTGTTCCTTGCTGGTAAGGTGAAAAATTTAGGGTCTCTACATTTTAAATGTCATTTTACAAACACTGTGGGAAATAAGACTTCAGTCTCTGTGAGAACTGATAAGATTCCCTATCTCGCAAACTGTATGGAATACTTCCAGAAATATTTTAAAATTCTATTTTAAATGGAAAAACCTCAAGCGCTTTCATGAGACATTAGTGAACCACCAAAATGTTAGTCAGTCCCATCTAGCATTTCAGAACAATGCAATTATCTGAACATCAGTGTTTTTGTTAAGATACCTCTGTTAGAAATGTTGCCTAAACATTAGTTACTAATATTCTGAAATTCTAAGTAGAAATACAAGGTTTCCCAATTTGCCTTTCAACTATGCAGCAGTTATCTGTCTTGTCACAACATGAATCCCTTTTGGGTGAAAGCTGTTGATTTGAAGGTTAAAATCACCTTGCTAGGCCCTAATGTAATTTGTTGGAAGTTGGCCTTGGGAAACTTTCTGACACTGCCTACATATGCTTCTTGTTGGATATTCATTGAGCAATGATGTCTGAAGGGCTGAGTTCTTCACTTCCATGATCATTATTAGCTATGGCATTTCTTAACAGGCTCTGCCATGTCAGTTCTTTGCAGCTCAGGTTTTACATTAGCAACCCACACTTTACAGCACCAAGCAGACTCACTCTCCCACCACAGACAATACTCTTCCAGAATAGCATATGCCAGGTTATGCTCATAAACAAAATTTATTAGTAACCTACATATATGCCAATATTGAATAAATTATTTATTCTCTCTTTTAATCAAGTGAAATGAGGTGCACAGCATACATTTTAGGCAAGGCTAAATGAGAACTCCCTGACCTCATTAAGGAACTTGTGGATCTACTACAGAAATTATTCAACAGAAAATCTTTGGAAGAAGAAACCACAGGATCCATAGCCAGTGGTCTGTTGATCAAATAAGAGTGGGGAAAGAGGAGATGGCTAATGCCATTTCTGAGATGTACAGTACCATTACTTCAATCTTCTCATCCCTAAAGATGCATTTTCACAGGCTGTCAAACATAAAATCTTATCAGAATACTTATCCTCAGAAGATTTTAATCAGATGAACAAAATATATGATTCTCCCAAAACCATATTCACCTGACACTTCATCTTGCTCAGCAATATTCTCACCAAACTACTGTGCTCTGGAGGTCTATCTGTTTTCACCAGATGCCCACAGACATCCTTAGCTTTGAAGGTGCCTTCTTCAAAACAGTGTCCAGCAAACTGCAATCACATGATAATGAACTAAGAAGAGCCAAAATTCAGGAAATCTTAAAAAAATCAACCTATTTTTAGTTTTCTCTTGACACAAATACTGACATAATATATGTGAGGAATCTACCCCTACAGGACTTTGGATGATGTCTATAAATTTTAGATGAAATTATATTGTCATCCTACATTATTTGAAGGAGCTTGAAACTTTTCCTGAAAGTCAGAGTTTGAAATATATTATGCTTGAAGCGCACCCTGTACACAGAAATATCTTGACAAATTATATCTGGGGCAAGATGGAGCCTCTCAAAGGCTTGGGAATCAGCCAGAAGCACTGACTCATCTTATTTGCAAGCAGTGCTGATCTGAGGTTTGGGGATGGGCTAGCTCAGGAAATTTCATCAGATGTTGACATATGAAAATGGTTCACTTTATATATATATATATATATATATTTAAGAAATAAGCTATAGAGGTGTCTAGTATAAGCTCAGTAGCACTGGTTGCACCTTGCTGCCTCTCTTGGCTTAGGTTACTGTCTTCCTGTAAAAGCCTGAAGTGGGTATTCAAGAAGTTTGGGGAGAAGTGTGACCATTGGTGAACTGAATGGATGCAAGCTCCAGAGCGCAGGGACCAGCTGAAGAGGACTTGGTTTGGGAAGAGGTCAAGGGACACAGACTTGTTTGAAACCGCATTTTAAAAAAATTCTGGCTCAGGCACGATTTTTTCTCCCCCTGTCAAAGTATTAGAAAAATACAGCAATTAACATATGAAGCACTTATCATTTGTTTTTGTTGGGTCCACAAAGTTCATACCTCATGTCAACATTTTTGCTGATGACAGTTTATGAAAGAAAAGCATCATTAGAAGGGACGTTGGAATAAAGTATAACAAAACAAAACCTGTGGCTGAGATTTCACATGTTTAAGGTGAGATTGAATCTGCAGCAAAACAAACTCATGGGAGATTCCTGTTTATTTTCATACAAAATGAATTGGATGCAAATTCATTACTGTTTAGAGAATGAATCTCAGTGACAGTTTGTCCCTGAGGGCATTGAAAAGTATTTAAAATCATCCTGATAGTTAATTATTCAGCATAAGTCTTTATCATATAAAATGACTTTAATAATTTATGCTAATGGGGCATTGTAGACGTAACTGTAGGACTGGTCTGGAGGAGGGGAAGACTGTGTCTGCACATTTATAGCTGAATTGTAGTTACACATGTGTGGCATTTGATATGCAAGGAAGGCATCTGTGATCACCTCAGTTCTTTTCCCTACCCCTCTCCCTGCATGTTCAGCTACAATGCTACAAAAGGCTCTCACTAAATTTACAAATAGCCCAACTTCAGAAATCTAGTAATCATGGTAGTTTGCAAGGAATTAAATGAAGATACAAATTAGAGTTTGAATTTTCTGGATAAAGTGTCAGGGAACAGAAAATGATCAGATGCAAGTCCTGGGTATCTCAGTTATATATGGTGCAGCACATAAATACCTAGGAAGTAAGAGAGGAGAAGGCAAGAGAGATGTAACTGCACACTTTAAAGTGCCAGTAAGGGATGACCTAAACAGGTGTCCTTTTTTTGAACTCTAGCGGTGAAAGGGCTTGCCCAAAAGCCCAGTTATGGTGGAAAAATAGCTTTAAGTGACTTGAGCATGAAAATCAAAGACCCTGAAGAAAAGAGTCCAGGAGAGGCTCTGCTTGATTCCTACTCTGGTGAGTAGATTCCCTCTGGAGAGGGAAGGAGGTGCTCCTGTATCGCAGTAGCCTTGAAAGTCATGGATTTATACAATCTATAGAAATAACCACATAAATGCATATATGGCCTCTCTGCATTTCTAGGTACTGGAGTGGCATTCCCTTGTATGCTCTGGGTAAACAGGGAGATTTATAGATGTACTGTCCTAAAAGAATCCCAAGTTACCCAAAATCTCACAAGTTTTGTGACTCTGACTCATAAAAAAACCTTTTGAGTTTTAATCCTATTCTACTTCTTGACATGGAATAAGGACAAAAGCTCAGTGCTTTCCTCTAATATTCAATGATGCAGTAGAATAAACAAAAGAGAACTGTGTAAGTTTTATGCAAACATTTTTAGGCTTTGTGGGTTTTCTTGCCTTTGTCTCCAATGGAGGTCAGCTCCCTAGACATAGACACCTTCTGCTTGGCTCATGCTATAAGAAAAATGAATGAAATCAGAATGGTCTCGTGTGCTTGCATACTTTATGTCAATTCAGAAGAAACACAAGGAAAAGTGAATGAGTTGTGAGTTCCCCTGCATGAAAAGTCATCTGTGTTTTAGCTATTAGTCTCACACTTAGCAACTTTAGCATCGACATTCCTTATGGAATGGTAAGAATCCCACTGCATGCAAAGCTGCTGCTGTAAAGCCAGGATGTGAAGCTGTATTCACATCAGTGAATGTTCCATCTGAGTGCTGCCAAAGTATGCCAAAGTTGGATGTGGCTCCAGTGTGCACCAGCAAGTATTTAGAGGTGAGTGAAATTGCCTTCAATGTTGATATGAGCAATGATTTTCAGATTCAGCCCCTTACCTCTCGCACTCAGTTCAGTTTGTACAGCCTGAACTTTTCTATATAGCCACAGCATAAATCTTTTTGCTTCATAGATATCCTCACACAGGTACTGAAAGGCAAAGCTATGTGATTTTTATCCTTCCTTAGTTACAAATAAAAATACTGTTTCTTAGTCACAAATAAAAATCCGGTCTCACTTTCAAAGAAAACAATGCAATCAAAACAATAACCCCTCTACAAATATAACAACATGTTCTACAGGACAAGTATTGATTAAAACAAAAGGGCTTTTTAAACACCATTAATTCTTACCAATTCCAGTAGTTATTGATTCTGCATCAATGTCATTAGCCTTTCTCTTTGCCACTTCAGCTAGTGCCAATTCACCCTTATCTAGAGCAAGGTAATGGATGTCCTTTGGAAATAAAGAAGAAAAAAGATTAATCTAAAATGAATCTCAAAGGAGCAACAAAAGGGATTTTGAAAGAAAGAGGTTCTTTTATTATTTAGATCACAAACACAGATGGAACTGATGAACCTACCATTATGTTTTAATTCCCTCCAACGCAAATATATTTCCTTACTTGTGCTGTTGAATACAGCAATGAATAAAACACTGACCAATCATGCACTGATAAAGGCAAAGCTATTGACCAGTGTATGAAAGAAACCAATCTGTCTACTTTTAACATAACTTCTGTTGAATTAAAAGAATGTTGATAGGTGGTGGCTCTGTGTAACCCAGATCTGAAGTACTGGAACTCTCCTGGCTGACAGTCTGTATTTGGAGCATGCTAAATGCAGATGTTGTGCTTAGAGACACGGTCTAGTAGTGGACCTGTTAGTAATGGGTTAACAGTTGGACTCAATGAACTTAGAGGCCTTTTCCAACCTTAATGATTTTATGATTTGAAGGTTTTCATCTTTAAGGGACTAATTTTTGTTTGAATGTTGTCATGCACTCACTGTTGAAGGTTATTTCCCTCTCTGTTCTGTGGGTAAGGTGATGATGGTTCTCCCTGTGATGATATTGGAGGTAATAAGAGCAACACTGGCTGCTCAATGCTTTTAACATCCACAGGGTTGGCGCGATTCCCGAGTCACTCCTGAATAACAAGGGACTTTCTACAAATGTATTCTAGCATGAATAGTTGCTAATATTCTGGATCTAGTCTTTTATCTTGAGTCAAAAATCAGAGGGCTGCAGCAGGGGTGTATCGTTATATAGAATTATAGAATGGCTTGGGTTGAAAGGGACCTTAGAGATCAATTTGTTCCAACTCCCTGCCCTGGGCAGGGACAACCTGCCCTTCCACTAGGCCAGGTTGCTCCAAGCCCCATTCAATCTGGCCTTAAGCACTTCCAGAGATGGGACAGCCACAGCTTCTCTGCGTGACTTCTGTTCCAGGGCCTCACCACCCTCGCAGGAAATAATTTCTTCCAAATACCCAACTTAAACCTGCTCTCTGCCAGTTTAAAGCCATTCCCCCTTGTCCCATCACTGCATGCCCATGTCAAAAGTGAAGGCTTTTTATTGCAAATTAATATTGGAGGTGAAAACCACATGAACTTCATAGGGAGCTCATTGTGGGAGAATATATTCCTGCAGACAAACTACACTCTCACTGCCCTTGTATTTGGTCCTCAAAAAGTAAAAGCTCATTCTTGACCATTAATCAAGGGACAATTAATCCCCTTCCCAGCAGACACATGCTGCACTCTGCATGAGCTGTGACATAGAAAGTGAGGGAACTCCAACAACAGTTGGCAAAGGTTTTTCCCCCACTACTTTGTTGAAGATGCCATTTGACATCCAAAGATTTGAGTCATTCCCTTGTTCTGCAAGCCATCTGCTTGCAGGAATTTAGAGGGAAAAAGAGTGTTTGCTGGAAATATTGACCTCTGCATGCCATAAAAACAACTATATTCGCCCTAATGTGGAAGATTTCAGGTGAAACTGTCCTTCATGAGGTGAGTTTACTGCCACCTGCATCAATATGACAGAAACTCTTACAGAAAAAGTGACTTTACTCTAGAAAGACACGTTTAGATGAAAAAAGTGAGAGTAATAGTATTAGGAGAAAGATGTGCTGCTTTCATTAACCCCTCATTTAACAACAACAACAATTTTAAAACAAAACTGAAAATCTTAGAGATATGGAGATGGTTATGTAGGAAAGCCAGGAACTGACTTGCAGGATCTGCAGAGTATGCAGGAGACAGCAGTGTCTTCTCATCACAAACACAGGTGTGACTTAAAAAATGTGCAAATGTCTTGGAGCAGAGTAAAGGGTTATGAACTTGTGGCGAACTCTGTATTTCCTCTCTTTGTAGGTCTAGCTTGGTTGTCAGGAGAAAAGGGCCTGAGCAGCAAGGTATGATTTCTATGAAGATTAAACAGCAGATACTGTCGCCTTATTTAGATAACAATAGAAAACTCAAGGGCTCTTGGACAAGTCTGAACTCACAGAGATTTGGATGTACAGGCAGACTTATTTAAAATACATTCTGACAATGTTTAATGATTGTCTTTTTGTAGCTAAAACTATGAGAAGCATTGTATAGCCCCATGCATTTTCAAAGAGTAAGCTTGAGGATGGGGTGGAAACAACTGCAGAAAATAACCAAGTTTTGTCAATGAAGAACTTGTGCACTCTGTGAATAAAATCATCTGTTATTTCAGGTCTTGGTTTTGCCCATTTTCTGGTTTGAGTAAAAAAATGTAAAGGTGTTACATATCCATCATTATTGAACAGGAGCCTTGTAAGAAATAAAGGTTAGCAGTAGGTTGGTAATTTGCTTTCTTTGTTCCTCAAGTTACTGGTCATGAAGAATAAAAAAAGTAGCCTTTGACTCATCTCTAAGCCAGCTTAAGAAAGAAAAGTTTACAGATATGAAATCTCCTAATTAGACCATTTCAGACCAAATTTAGGTGTTTCTCATTCAAACAAACCAGCAAAAGTGGATTTTTCTAAGAATTTATAAATCTCTGAGTAGAATTAAACTAGAAAACTAAAAAACAGAAAGAAGATGCACCAGATTACAGGGTGCTTTAAAGAATGACACAAAAAAAAAGAATTAAATTATCTGAATATTCATGACAGATTTTTTTTCACACAATTACCTAAGAATTTATAAGTCCAAAGGTCACATCTCTCTCAAACACAATGGTGACAATAAAAACAATTTCCAGCTGCTTATCAGAAGCTTGCTGAAAGGGCTCTATTTTATCATTTAACAGTTTGCTTACTTTTTGGACAACTTCCCTTTCCCCGTCACCTTTCTGACTCACAGAGCTGGCTGTTGGTGAGCAGAAGTCATTTGAAACACGATGTGCATTTGTCTATAGGATATTTCTGGGCAACACTCCAACATTTCTTCGAAGCATGCACTTTCCTCATCAGTGTATCACCCAAGATCTGACAGTTTTATTAACGTGTCTTTTCCTTGCATTTTTTGCTACCTTTGGTACATGGGATGGCCTTTTGAATTTTCAGCAGCTGAGAGCTGGAACGCACTATAAAAGCACTTCAAGCTAACAACCTTTCCACTGCTTGATCTTTTCTGTCACAGATTGGATCAGTCACTGTCCAATAAATGGAGCTGTTATTAGTAATATTATGTCCTTTTCAGTTTTATTTTTTTATTGAACTTCGTAGGAGATGATATTAATTGATGGACTTGGATGTGAAGTGATGGTAAAGCTCAGGGAGAGACACAGCGGTGTGTGTGTCTTGCTATGGCATCATCTAGTGATGCTACAGCTATAGTTTTAAGCCTTTTTTTTCCTTCTTTTTCATTTCTTTGAAAGAATTATCCTTTGGGTAACATTCTCTCAAACTTCTTTGCAGTCTCAAAACAAATAATGGAGATGTTGTAGAGAGCCCTGTTTGGTGAAATTGATGCTCAGGGTAAATTCTCTAAGATACAGACATTTTCTTAGAACTCTCAAGTGGTGGGTACTCAATGTCTGCATCCTCCACAACATCTGTTGTATTTATTCCTCTCTATCCTCTCCTTTTTAGTTCCTTCTCTGCTCCCCTTTAATAAACAGATTTTTTTCTTTCTCATTTTGCTTATGTCATCAGGTATCTTTATTTAGACTACTCTTTCTTCTTGAAATCCCATTAAATTAGTTGGGAATAAAGTGATGTGACTCCTAGAGCTAGCTGAGGTTTTAAAAATGGATAAAACTGCTTTAAATATATGCAAAATCAAATGGTATATTAGTAATTGCATTTTGCCCTACATAAACAATATATAGGAATCATTCAGTATTAAGCAGAAAAGAGGGATGCACAATCCTTGCTTAGCAGTAGCATTGTCATACTAATGGGACTGTAGGGTTTCAGGGAACAGGTTATCTAATTTTCACACAGTATTAAGCACAATGACGCCAAAATTCCCCAGAAATTACCATGGCACAAATAAATACTCTTAATGACCTATGCATGTTTAAACTTCTTGAGTCCTGTACTTAGTGGACTTGCAGCAGTACCACTGTTAGCTTATTGTAAAGTTTGTTCATTAGTGACTGACTTAGACGATGAATTAGCAAAAGGACATTTCCCCAGAGGAGGCAGAGATGTGTGCTGCTCATAGCATAATTTAGGGGCAACTATGAAGAATTTCAAAGGTAATGCAAGCAGAATGAGGACATTAAAGAACTGGTTTTGATCTCACAATGACATAAGCCAAGAGGAACTCTTCAGAAATACAGATTTATGTTTAAGGGCATTGCTAGGATAGGAAATGAAGAGTAGGTGTTGAGAGAGGAAAGGATGGAGTTAATTGTTTTGTGAACATTGAAACTCCTCTTGAAGAAAGTTGGAGAGACTTTTTGGTGAGAGTAGAACATGTTACCTATCGCTTGTGGAGCCAGGTACTGACAGTCCCTCCCTCTTGCTAGCAGCTGTGCACCCATCTCAACACCCAACACTGGTGTTCCCACCCTGGCACAGAGGTTCTTCCTCAATCCTGCTGTCAGCAGAGGGAAGGAAAGAGAAAAAGATCATGTGGGAAATGCTCTCAGTCATATGAGAGAGGGCCTTTGATGGCAAATGCTGTGACATTTATTCTGTCAGAATGGCCAAAATTAGGGAGTATTTATTATCTGTACACTTGGAGAGCCCTTGAAAAAAAGCTTTAATCTGCTCCAGACATACTACAGTTTGAATCTTATATGTGGCTGCAGCAGTGCTTAGCATGATTAGGTATAAAATTTGTATTGAAGAGGCTATGTTCAATAAAGAGAGAAAAGGAAAGAGATGATCTAAAAAGACAGAAAATCGAGGGGAGTAAACATAGAACATGTAATGAATTTCCTAAAAGTCTGACATTTCCATCACATTCTTTTGATGCATACTTAGGAAAGTTTATCGCAGTATTCACATCTTTCTAATTAGATGGAACAAGCCAGATGATTAGAGCCGTGAAAAAAACATCAAAAGGTTCACACAACTTTTTATATAATTAGAAGGGAATTTTCATAACCCCTAAAAGCAGGATTTAATTGTGTAATTTAACATACAATTTAAATATCAAGATCAAACTAGCAGGGCAAGTGACTTAATGGGATAAATGATATTAACATCTAGTGTCAAAGCTTAATTTAAACAACAGAATGTCTTCATTATGCAAAAGAGTCAAGCAAACGAATCGTTCAAAGGGCCTTTTTTTCAACAAGCCCTTTCCTATTGTTTCTTTGAAAACAATGAAATCAGCTGTGGAGCAGCAACATGCTGAGAGACTGGGAGAGCACGACTGGCTTTGTCCATCTGACCTCACTGTGACATTGTGGTGCAAGATCTTATAAAACAAGAACCTCCTGCAGTGCTCACACAGAGGACCTTTTAAGAGCTGGTTAATTTTACTTTTGTAGCTAATTAAATGGGAGGGGGCAGAGAGTGCATGAAATGTTAAAACCCTTGTGTTGATGCTGCTGAGCTTTGTTGTTTTAAAAGTACCAGCAGAAGCGTTCATAATTTGTCACTTTTCACAAAACCCCAAGAGACAAACTAAGAGCATTCAGGATCCCCAGGACATGGACAGCTCTTGTGTCCAGGACTCAGCAGTTGAACTTAAAGGAACAGATTAGAAATGTATAAGCTTATTAGAGTGAAAGATGACATTCACCCACATCAGGTCAGATGAAGAAAGGGAAAGTTTAAAACCACAGACAATAATTCCTAGAAAATTAAGAATAGCCTGTAGGCCATGCTGGGGAAAATGTCAGTGACTCTGAAGATACTCAGTTCCTACTGATGAGTTTCATGATGGCAAAGGTAGAACAACCCTGTCTTCAGTATGTGTCCTGGAAATGTCCTGGAACTGTTTTAATGTGTGCAAAAGCTGACAACTAATATCCTCCAACAGTCTCTGTCTCCATGAACAACTCACCATGAACAGGTCCCGAGCACCGATATCAACAGCAAGCAGAAATGCTTTTTCAAACCTCTGATACCTGAAAGAAAAAGGAAACACATCACTTGCTGAGGTTAATCTAAGAGCTGCATCATTTTCAAGATTTTTGTTCATGTGTACAAAGTCCTTCAATGCTCACCAAAAGTGATGTCAAAGCTTTATTGGGGAAACTTGATAGGCTCATAGTCAGATTGCAGAACTGTGAGGGAGGACAGTGACTACCCTTAACCTTTGTCATTGTTTAAAATCTTCACCAAGTGGTTCAGTGTTGAGTCCCATCAGATCTGGTTGAATCTGAAGATCCTAACAAATCCATCCTTTACAAAGATAGCAACCACAACAGTATCCCCAGCAATGCTGGTAGGAACCTCAAAATCCTCTACAGAAAATGCTAATCTCAAATTTCACATTACTTCAAAGGTCCCTGTAGAAGTTTGCACTGAGTTTTGTCCTTGCAGACCCCTCAATACAGCTCTCTGAAGATGCTAAACCAGTTGAGCCATGAATCCTTAGGGACTAAAACAGTGATACTGTTTTGTCTCATAACTACCTTAGCCCAGTATTAGCACAGACTCCTGAGAGTTTTCTGAGATCCTACAGTGAAAAAGATTGCATCAATGAAGTAAAATAAGAAGGAAAAGAGCAAAATCACAAGTGAAAATTATCTCTAGGTGTGCTGTAGAAGGCACCACCTTCTGCATCACCCAGAGATGCAGCAGAGCAGGAAGGGGGCAGCATGAATGTGGAATTTCACCTTTAAGGACCATTCCTTTGGCGGGTTGAGGCCATGCCTTGATATCCACAGCTTCTTCCATTTGTGGCAACAGACTGACCCCTTCATCCTACCCAGACACCACACACCATCTCCTGGGAGTTACAGCAAATACCCACACAGGATAGAGGGACTAGGCAAGGGTGTGAATATCCCAATCCCTGGGAAGTCCATAGAAGCAGAACACAAGCCATCCATCAGAAGCTTTCTGAGGACGTGTGCAACATTGTGCTGGCAAATGCTAATCCCAATGGAAAATTCTGCATTGGGCTAATGTCTCTCTTACACTAGGTGTGGATAACCATTATGTGACACTGTGTTACGAGAAAGTGATTCTATCTGTACACATTTTCCTCTATTGCACATTTTTAACTGTTTAAAATTAGCTAGATTTGGTGATTATTTATAGAAATGCAAATACCCCGATTTTATTTCAGTTGGGCGGTAAAAGATTGATCCCATACAGAACAATTTTGTATTTGTCCCATTACAAAGTGGATATATTTTCCCCCTTTCCACCTGTTAACAATTTCAACAATGGATCAGTTGTGGACACTTGAGGTTTGGAAGGAGATAACTTCTTTGTCCCAGTGGGGAAAAGACACCATTGTGATTTCTCAGGGTTAGAAAGGTGTCAGCTGTGCTTGTCAAATGAATATTGTCAGACAGCATCACATGGATGCCAGATTTGTACAGCTCTGTACCTTGGTGGTGTCACAGGAAACAGTGGGCAGTGCAGCAGCTCCTCCTCAGGCCGGTGTGAACAAGAGGAAAGATGGGAATCCTCCTTTGCCTGGGTGGGTAAAGTAATCCCATATGATGCACCACACCGGGATTCCTGTTCCCGGCCAAAGCCTCAGCGGTTTCCTGGCTCCCTCCTGTTACAGCCTTATCGCTCCCCTCTCCTCTACCACACACTTGGAATGATTCATCAGATTGCAAGATAGAACCAGAGAGGACTTTTCCTCAAGGAATAACATTCGTGACAAGAAGGCATAATATGTTAGCTTAAGTAGAAAAGGAAATGCACTCTCCAGGTGAGGTTCCTAAGAGCTGGAGTGGGGAGCCCTTCCCTCCCTAAAGCTAATCTCCCTGCTGTGCCTTCCAAGTACTAATTTGCAGCCCTCCTCACAGAACCAGTTTAAGGGAGGGGAAGAGATAAATTAAAATTAACCTTTTGATCACCAGGGAACAGGCAGTGCACCCCCACTTTTTCATGCCTGTCTGTCTATCTGAAGCTTTTCAAAATGATTCCTATGCTGGATTTTCCATCAGAATACATTGTTTTGCAGTGATGCTTTTGAAGCTATGCTTTAATTAAGTACCTGTTAAAATATGTGTAGCTTGAACAGATATCATGTTTATATTTTTTCCTGGCATATTTTTATTTTCCATTATGGATTAAATACACATTCTTAGTACTTAAAGGGGAAATTGGAACTGAACAGAAACCAGCTATGTGACTGGCTAAAAAGAATGTCTGTGTCATTATTTGTTATTTCCAAAGTTATCACTATATAGACTATTTGAATGACATTTGCTTTAGCCAAGGAAAAAACAAATGCCAGCAACCAAAAAATATAAAATAACTTTCTCATTTGATTGACTTGCAAAACAGAAACATGGCCTTAAGCCATAATTTCTTTGCAGTTTCACAAAGATTTCAATTATTTTTCCTTTAATCAACATACATACTTCAGTCTCATTATGGCCCCTATTCATAAAAGTGTGATGTTAACTCATTATTTTCAGTTCTGTACTAAGGAAAAAAAAAGGAAAAAAAGTGACTATCTAAGGAATGCTCTTCACAAACCAAGAGTGTTGCAAATAACAATCACAGTTACTTCATAATTTATTATAAATTGAATTGCCTTAAAAGAAGGCAGTTGTTACAAGGAAGATTGACAAGTTTTCTTTACTTAGGACAACAGTATTAAATCAGTCAGGAATATCCAGCATTTTTTAACCTAACTTTACTAGAAGATAATTGTTATTCTGAAACCCTTAGTTATTAAAGTTTTGTTGGTTTTAATGTACAGAAACCATTAGAGGTCTATATAGCATGAGACCAACCTTAAGTTAATAATAACTGTTTTAGAAGCATGTTTTATCGTAGGAAGACCTCTTACTGTTGCTAGCACACTCACTTATCAGTTTATCAGCACCTCAAACAAAATACTCCCAAGTAAAATTCTCCCCCTTTTGTTCTTGTGCCACAGTCACCAGGTACAACATTTGCTCTCTAAAATGGAATCTCCAGGGCCCTGGTGTTGAACAGGGTTCAACACCTTCCTCCACCTTGCCCCTTATTGCTTGGTTCACAGCAACTCCAGCAATCAAGACTTACATGAGTCTTGAAAAAGAGAGATAAGGAAATCCACCTGCAAACCATGAAGTTCAGCCACTTGTTTGGTCAAAGTGACAGGCAATAGAAGTATGACCTTCAAGATCAGAGCTCTGAAACTGCAATTAACTGTGTAGGACACATAGGAAAACATTTCCTTGCAAGTAGATACAACATTAACTTCAAATTCTTATATATATAAAAAAAATACTGTTATTATACACGTTCTAAAAAAAGTGTAAAAAAATTTCTGTTAGTATGGGCAAGGAAATCAAGGAGAAATGTGAATAATATAACAATGGGCATGTAGGTCAAAAATAGTCAAGGTAGAGAGGAATCCAGATTTGCTTTCCATGGTGAAGTGACAAACATGCTGCCTGCCTGTATTTTGGGAATATGACTTAACTGAAAATATTCCAGGAAATCATTTTATTTTAAAATAAAATATATAAGTAATAAAAAAAAAAATAAAGTTATCTGTAACTTCAAAAAGGACATTGTGTTCACTGGCATAAATAATAAAATTAAATGCCTGGGATTTCCTTCTGTTGGATGTTCAGAAATAAAGTAATTTGAAATACTGTTGATCAAAAAAATGTGTCTGGATTGCAGTCTGCAAAGAAGGGGAAAGAAGTATCTGGTTTTTAGAAAATGGTCCACAAATATATAAAAAGGTAATTATTTTTCATCTGTATTCCACAACTCCTAAATTGAATATGGTCACTTAAAGATAGAGATACATTTTTCAGACTGAAAATGGTCAACTTGAAAACACTTGTAATATTTAGCCATAATATTAAAGTGTCTCGAAAGACCTCCAAGAACTAGGAAAATGAAAAAAAAAATCATGTGGAGGGAGGAGGAAGGGAAGGGAGAGGGAGCTCATGCAGGCAAGCAATATAGTGCAGAAAAGGTGGAAACATTTCTTTAGGGACTAGTTACAACCAACAAGCCTTCTTAGACATGCTCATCGACCATGTAAGCATATTCCTTGTGCTGGGCTGATAAAGGAGGGCTGCAGCAGTTTTTTTCCTTGTCTTCAATAAGAGTACACAACATTTAGAAAATAATCTGCAGGGGAAGAGCTGTGTCACAAATAACATTTATAAGGCAATTCTTTTTAATGGAAGAAATTTCAGAGTCCTCCTCATCTCACAGTCCAATCAAGAGTGATATGCATTCAAAAAGTGGATATTAAATATGCACTGAGCAAACAGAACAGGAAAAAATGAATATTGAAATAATTTACATGTAATCAAACTACACTGAAATTAAGTTTTAATTGTTCAGTATTCCATGATGCATATGCAGATTTTAAAGTATTCAGAATATCAATCAAGTGTTTACTTACATCAAGCAATTGTATTTAAGCATACAAAACAGATGATGAAAATATGTTCAATCAGCTACAGCTCCCAACATTTACTGCTGGGTTTACATGATCACTTTTAATTCAGTTATTTCATTTAATATTTCAATTTAATAGCTCATTCTTTCATTCAATTTCTAGGCATCTTGCCCATTTCTTAAACACAATAATAATAATTATTCATAAAAGGCGCTGTTTCCTCATAAATTCTCATATCAGCAATTTTTGGAACAGAAATGGTTTTCATGCTTTTTTCCCCCTTAAAAAATGTTGTTATTATCTGAAATATTTTCCTTTTAAATTAGACAATATTCAAATAAAGAACAACATCTGCAAAATGACTCTGAACCCCATTCTGTTGGAATTCTGAGCCAGAATAATTACAGATTATCAGGTTAAAGAACCTAAAAAGTGCGTGGCTATGTTGCTAAGTGGTTGATTTAAATGGGGACAGATTAGTTTTTCACCAACTGTTGAACACAACACCACTGATTTTGGCATGTAGCTGTATGTCAGCTTCAGAGCCCATTTACAAAACCAGGGATAAAAGGACTT